CTATTTGGAGCATCTTCAGAACTATAGAGACTGAAACAAGAACTGGACTACTATGTTATCGGAGAAGACGTATTACGGCAATTCGATTGCGAAGTTAAATTTACACCGAGCGTACCATATGCCCCATATTTTCACGGATCAAGGGAACGACAAATCCAGAGTATTCGACGAGTATTTGAAGCTTTGCAATGGAGACGAGCTCAATATGCCGTTAATGACTTTTGGACGAGATGGAAGAAGGAAGTTCTTCAAAACTTCAAAGAACGACGCAAGTGGCAGGAACCAGTAAGAATTCTGAGGATGGGTGATACAGTACTTCTGGTAGATGACAGCACGTCACGTAATACTTGGCCAATGATGATAATCGAAAGAGTTTACCCCATCGATGATTGTAAAGTTAGAAAGGTCGACATAGTTAAAGTGACACTAAGCGTTTTTCGAAAAATGGGTTGAGTCATGGGTTGACACATAAAATATTAAAACGATTTATAAAACCACAACATAGTTGGTTCTGTGTGGAAAACAAAATATCACCAGATCAATCGTGTTAGGAAAATTACTATTGCATCATTTGGCTTAGTAACCAATCATTATAATTAATTACGTCATATTTGACCCATTAGATAATTGAAAGCTGAAAGCTAAAGGTAGAATACCTTAAGAGCTCTGGCCGTTCGACAGACAGCCGATAAATTCGGGAGAAACCGCCGAGATTCAATTTGTAGGAGAGCCATATGGTGTGTGTTCTGTCAGTAAACCCGATCTGCGAATTAGGGACGGAGAGAAAGAAATATTAATTTTAAGCATTGTAATGTAATTTATGCTTGTAACCCATGTATCCAGTGCTTGATATAAAATGTAGAAACGAACTGATGCATTGTTATTCCTGGTAGATAAAGGTCTTAGCTGATATAAAAATATATACACAACGCGAGTCCTAAGAAGAGAATAAGAAACAAATATAACCATATTTACCGATCACAGGGCTATTAGCATATGTAGCAAAAGAGAATATGCGTCACACGTTGGATGTGGGGGTTTCTTGTTTTTTGTCTTTCCACAACTAACCAGCGACGCATGGCACGCACAGTACTACAAAGAGCATGCCTACTGTTTTACTTTCAAATATTCGAAATAGTCAGTCATTAGACCATTCCGACAATTTATCAAAAGCTTCTTGCATTCCCGTTCTGACCGTACTGTAGTTATTTGCTGCATGCCAGATTGGGCTGTCGTCTGCAAAAACAGCTACGTCAATCAGTTTGTTAATGTAGTTATTAGACTGAAGGTCATTAATCATGATATTGAAAAATGTCTAGATTATAACAGAAACCATTTTCGAGTCCATATTTGTTGCTTATTGAAGGACCTATCTGCCTATCTTTTAGAAGACCCAGTGAAACATTCGTCCTGTTACTCATGTATCTTTTTAAGTAGATCACCAACCCAAACTAAGTCAATTGCCTTCATAGGCGTAGGAGCCGGGGGGGCATTTGCCCCCCCCCCCCTCCAAATTTATTTTCGGGCAATGAAAAATTCGACAACCTTTTTTTTCTATTAACGTGTAGAGAAAAAATATAACTAACTTATTTCTACGAGATCCACACTGCCCGAAAAGTATTTTCTCGTCTTTTTCTTGTCCACTGCATGCCCGAAAATATGCCCGAAGCTCTCTTATGATAGGTATGCCCGAAAAAACGGTTTTGCCCGAAAATAGGTATTGCCCGAAAATTTCCCTTATGCCCCCCTGAATCACTTTGAGCTCCTACGCCTATGATTGCCTTGGTCAGGTCGACGAATACTACACATAGACAATTGTTATTTTTAGAGAGTGAAGTCATGATGTCATGTTATAACCCTACAATTAGTATAATCAACAGTGGAGCGAGTGTTTTTCTCGGTACGATGTTATTAAGTCTCCTTCAAATTTCATCCCAAAGATGTTCAATCGGGTTTAAGTTCGGACTAAGGACTGGCCAGTGCATAACGTTGATACCGTTCTGCTGTAGAAAGTCCCTCGCTACCCTGGCGGTGTGGGCACGGGCGTTGTCAAGCTGGAAAACGTTGTTTCGATGACATGCGAAATGTGGTATGACGTGGGGTCTGAGAGCTTGATTGATGTAGCACACTGCTGTGATGCCGCCTCCTCTCCCTGGACCAAGATTTTGGAACACCACCAAGACCCAATCTCTAGTTCAGGCCGATTCCACCCCAAACCATTATGCTTGGACTTCCCCATGGGTCTCGTCCCATGACACATTGGTCAGAATAGCCATGTCGACGCCATATTCTGGTCCTGCCATCTACAGTCGTTACGCAATACAAACTCTCAACTGTGAACAGAACAGCTCTTTATTGTCTGTGTCGCCAGTTCTGGTGTTGTTGGGCAAACTGTAGACGTTTTCGTCGATGTCGAGGGACGAGGATCGGTCAACGGTAAGGTCTACGGCAATGGATGTTCTCTCTGGTGAGACGTCGGCGCACTGTATCGGTACTGATGGGTCTTCTGTGTGTTCCCACGTGTGCTCTATCAGTTAGGGGGCGATCATCCGTGGTGTCGGTGGCCCGAAAGCGTTTCTGAAGCCTGTAGATGGTCCGAACATTGACCTGGAAGTGATTGGCAAGGGCTTGGGCAGTGTTGCCAGCGTCGAGTCTTCCAAGCGCCTGGTTCCCCTGAGCTGTCGTGAGTCGTGGCATACTGCTGACGTTGTAGTGTGAATGATTTAACCATGGGGGTTCATTTTATAGGGCTGGTCCCGGTGAACAGGTTCAGTTCTGTGTTTGGGAAGGAGCTTTAATGCCCAGGTAAAGTTGGAGATGTTGTCATAAATATACAATAAAAACATTTGGCAAGTTTTATGCAATGCGTCTATTCAGAGTAACATATCAATCCGACGTTTCTTTTGCTGCTTAGTATATCACAACAAAATTGAAACTATGACAGCAACAAGATCAAAGGCTTATGACACAATGGGGTTACGTAGTATACAATAACAAGATAAAACGGGTGATATGGACATATCATTACACTACATACCTTGATTTATATATATAAAGAAAAAAATAAATAAATTGCAAGATATCCTCCCACAGTCTCATATAACAACTTTTGGTCTTCGAAGGAATAATCAATAAACAGAAATTCGCCCATGTATCTGTTATTGCTCGTTACTTCAGTCAGTTATAAAGAAGGATAACTCGTGTTTTCCTTTTGCTTTCGTCACTTCCGTTTCTTCAAATTTTTGTTACGCATCTATCGTAGCAATTAGTGTTTCTGCTACTAAAAAAGCCCAACCTTGATAAAGAATTACTAAAGAATTACAGACCGGTTGCTAATCTTTCTTTTCTTTCAAAAATTATTGAGAAAGCTGTTGCATCCGAATGTAAAAGACATTTGCATAATAACAGACAGTGTTATCAAAGGTTCCCCATCCAACTCAACGGTGTTTTAAAGCACGGCGTGCCGCAGGGTTCCGTTCTCGGTCCTTTATTATTTACCACATACATGTACACAACATCTTTAGGAAATGTCATTCGTAAACAGGGTCTTAACTACCATCTGTACGCCGACGACACTCAAATTCATATAGCTTTTGAACCTTCTTCTGAACCATCTGAGACATGCAAACTTGAGACCTGTTTATCAGATATTCGTAAATGGACGGACTCAAATATATTAAAACTCAACGATGACAAAACAGAAATAATGAAAGTCGGCAGTGACACGACTAAAATGCTGGTAAGCACTATGGTTACATCAAGACTCGGCTACCATAATTCACTTTTTTTTTCTTTCTTTTTTTATTTGGAATATCTTTATTGGCCAGAATAAATGTACATAAATTATGAAGAGATATTTGCCAGTGATTATAGATGCCGATACAGTCCATGTATCTGTTCGTAGCAGTCTTCTCCCCGGGAGAAGTAGGTAGAATCAATACAAAATTTAGTTAACATAATCATATCTTCAGTACTAAGGTTGGTATCTATTGGCTTATCCAAGGACGTGAGTCTCTGGCGTAGTGCTGCTAAGGATTCGTCACTTGGGATATTGGTGACGAAATCTATGACATCATGTGATAGTTTTTGTACATCGTTTGATAGGTCTTGTGGTATTTCGCAGAAATAAATAAGGAAGCTTCTTTACCTAATGGCGAAAGGAGTTTTGATAGGTACTGTGCAGTGACGTAATAACATAGTCTCTGGAGCATACTAGTATAGTCTGGCTTTAATGGGATTCTTATGAGTTTTAATTGTGGTCCTGGCATAAGGCGACCTAGGGTGGGGGGAGGGGGAGGCTCAAGTTTGTAGAATAGGGAAGGCAGTCTGACGGAGGTCTCGCGTTCGCTCCCGGTGTTGTCCGAGAAAGTTCATGTAACAAATCATGTTATTCATCTCAAAAACCAATTCCGAACTTAAAACTTAAAATTCATTCAAACAACATTTAATTTTGTTCCAATCAAATTTGTTTACAGTTGGACACGGGTTTTTTTGGGATATGCGTAAAAAGACAAGATGGAGGTATTACCGCGACCACAATCTACAAGAAAAGCATTCAAGACTATGGAATTTCACCATAAACGCCACTGATGCGAATAATAAAATCATAGAACAGACAAAACACTATATTTCATGAATATTTTAACTTATATTTTTTAAAAATATCGACTCCTTTGATTGGATATAATCAGGATTTAACAATGGAAGAATTAGTACAAACAAGCGACGGGGGTCAGGGCCTACCGTTAATGCACGCGTTAAAGATACTCGACATAACACAAAAAAATCCCATAAAAACAAAATAAGATTTAAATTGAACTTTGCCAGAGTACTTCTAACGGATAGTATATCCTTCTTATACCCGTGTACAGTGGGAGTATCAATACAAAGATAATGTGAGATAAACGTAGCTACGTGAAAAGCTCAACAAGATCGACGTGATCAACTAATAGATTGAACAAAACTTTGCTGTGACTGGGTGGGTGCTCGCGGCCGTCAATATGTCGGATTCACAGGTTATTATTCATGAAACGCACAATCAACCATTAACGTTTTCGCGAGCAGGGGTACCCACATGTTCAACAATACATGAAGGTGTTTTGGGGAAGGTGAGTTTATCTAAAAACTAATTTGTTAGTCAATGTTAACGTACTATTACGAGGGCTGGCTAAAAGGTTCTAAGCCTGAAAAGGATAGATCAATTGGGTTGAAACAAACTTTTGCCACCAACAAGTACAATCATTGAATCAATCATAGACATACGAACTGCAACTGTGTTATTATTGTCACCATTCCAGACCATCTTGTGAACCTAACCTATAGTCGCATCGGTGAAAATTTTTCGGGGAACAAGGTTTGATGATGGTTGGTTTCTGATAGAAGCGACCCTAGTGAAGATATTTGTAGTTTGTAATAATATTTGTAATAATAACAGCCATAAATTGTTCCAGATATCCGTGAATCTTATCCTGCATATATTTCACCTATCATAATTAAAAGTCTGGGTATTTTGAGTCATCTATGTAACTTGCGCACTCAGATTGAGAAGTGATGTTATTTTGGGAAGATGCTTAAACACTGAGACATAGGGCATCGGGTGTGTATCATATACTTTCCAGCAATGCCCAGAGGGGGCATTCCAAAGAATGAATGATATCAAAATTAAGTTTGTTGATAGTATCCCTGTTACCTTTGTTGTAAAATGTTTATTTCATCTGATTTTACATTACTTATATGAAATGTTTCTATTCTCACTTTTCTCGTAGGCCTTATACATGTACTTGAATATTGAATTAGCGGTCGGGGCAAATTATGACCCCAGCATCCTCAAACCTCTTAACGCCGCCGACATTGCCACCATGAAGGGATATATTTAGACATTGTAGACTTCTTGATTCTGCTAAATCTCATGATGGACTACAGCTTAATTCAGAACATATTTCCAGGATTATGCAAGAGCAGCTTTTAACGGAACATTTTGACTTTTATTTTTAAAGCTACTCCTTCATAATACTGGCAATAGGTTATGAATTTATCTGTAATTCAGCATGACATCTCAAAGAATCACCCCTTCCCTCCCTACCCCAAATTCCACGGATCTGCTTGATTTTGGTATTAGTTCAAATTCGTCCTGTCAGCTTGGAAATGGCATACTCGCTCTTCTCATCCCCCACAACCCTTGGAACGATATAACATGTTGCTAACGGTATTAAAAGAATACTTTCGAGACTATTTCTGTCGCCATATTGGATTTTGGCAGCCATATTGAATCAACCATTTGTGAAATGAATCGGAAACCGTCCAAAATGAGTCGGTGACAATCAAACCTATAAAATGACATATTACACAGGTCATTTCACCAACAATGTTTGTCAAGGTCCTGGTAGGAAACTACAGATTTCTACACTAACTGCCTGGATTATGACCCCTGATGGTACGAAAAATCGCTTATTATTTTAGCTCTTTTTCTTTCCATCTCTTGCCAAATGTGGGCGTATCTTGCATTGCAAGCGCTTGTTTTCGTAGCCATTATATATATAATATACACATTGTTCGTGATTAATAATTGAAATCAGAAGATCAAAGTGCTTCTATGTTCCCAGAGAATCTACACTATCTATAATCTTTATTTTATATGAAACTGTTGCGGATAAACTAGTAGGCGTTTAAGGAAACTTTTATCAACTATATTAGAGTTATTAGTGTTACAGATACTATATATGTCGTATAACGTTTAGGTGATAGATTGTCTGATTATGCCATCACGCAATGAAATGGTGTTTCATGTCCTACTGTTCGGCACCGACTGGGCTGATGAAGACGGGCATAAGCCATTCAGTTTGCTATGAGGGAAATTTTTGCGGCCGACTCTTATATTGAATTCCAAATGACAAGGGTTCTTTTACGTAAACGAGACCTCGATTTTTCGTCCTATCCGAACCACTATCCGCCCTCCCTACCCGATGAACTCTCTCGATTAACACGTGGATCGGACCCGGGACCTCTAGGTTAGTGAGCTAACGTCTTATACACCGAGCCACCGTGGCCACCATGTCCGCCCGTTGTAAAAAATTACTCATTCTAGCCTTCTCCAAAAGCGGGTTAAGTGTTTCAAAGACATTTGGTAGGTATATATGTTGTCAGGGTAGTGTTTAATCAGATTTTCTCAAAATAAATTGCAGGGCCCCTTCTGGTGGAGACAGGGGAGCCCTGAATTCTTCTCCCAACCCATTCAATGTATTACAAGAACATTGGAGATCTTGCCTGTCTGGTGTTTATGCAGATTTGGTCAGAGAAATAACCTGGCCACTTCCAGATGGGACAGGGCACATAGATTGAGCAAATTTAGACTTGAAATTTCTCCGCAATCATTTGATGGTTTCCAACCAGATCATTAAGTAGTGTTGATTGGTTGATACCTGCCCATCACTGTTCAAATCAAGTTATTTGGCCCAATGGAGCAGGGCCACTTTGAAGATGTAAATAACAAAGAACGATTTAGTTAGCCACACATTTAACAGAGGAGCTACATTAAAGATGCATTATGTAATTGCTAAATCTACCTGTTGTATTGCTTTATTTTGGCTTGAGATGTTATATAAATATTATTTAGACATTAATTTATTACCATTGATTTAAATGGATTAGAACGTCCGCGAGATTTAAAAAGAATTTAACGATAAAATGGTTAATCGAGACAGTCTCGTTGTTTAAGTACCGTTGCTAATAAATAAACAATCTACGCTACATCTTCCAACAGAAAAAGCGGTGAGCTCTTTATCTAAATCTTATAAAATGCATCTTTAATAAAGATTAGAGCGTCACTGAATGAGTTCCATTCTTGATAATGTATTTCGGTCAATAATTATTGTATCGTAAAATCCGTTGTGTTTTCCATTTTTAGACCAGAAGATTAAATGATTTAGATTGTATAGAGAAGTTATATTTTGTCCTGTCCGGTCTGTCCATATTGGTTACCATCAGCCTCTCCATTTTCAAGATGACCACTATAAGCAAGTCCGATTCTGACTTTACCTTCTCAATCGTACTCATAAGGAATGCAAGTAAGTAAACCATTATTTACAAAGAATATCATTATTTTTTTTTGAAAAAGAGAAACAGTATTATGTGTCAACAAGGGAGAGATGGAACCGATGTCATGTTTTGACTCGATCCCTGGTTACAAAAAATGCGATCATAATCTTGACATTTTTGCAAATAAAATGGTAGGTATACGTATAGTATACAACACAGTGCCCAACCAACCTAATTTTATATGTGTAAACTTGTAGAACTAAAAATGAAAAGTATGTAAAGCAATAAGAAATACAAGTTTAAATAAAAGATTTATACTAATAACAAACATATGGGTTGTTGAATGTTCTGTAGTAGAATGTTTCATAAAGACAATAAAAAAGGGTTAAGCAATTATGATAAATCAATTCCTGAGTTTTATAGGTTCAATATGAACACAGAGAGCCAGGTCACGGACCTACATTCCTGCATTATAGTGAATTTATTCCATAGGTTTCGACGACTTGTTATCCTAAGAGACGTTGATATACTCTATGTACTGGAGATGTTTCTCAATAAGTAATACTTATATCGGGGTCAAACTCCTACATGTTATTATTTATTATCTTCGTATGATATTTCGCCATGTATACCTTGTGTTTGATGAAAAATATTCGAATGAATCCGGAAGTCGGTTTAAATTCATTCTCTGCTAATTCTACTTCGGGTCAAATTTGGAATTCGAATCCTTTAATTTATCAATAAAACCTAATTCAAAAAAGATATATCACGACACCCGGAAGTGTCAATTATGGACGTCTATCAAAAAGTATATGTAGGCTCTAAATGATAAATCCGACTTTTTATTTTTTTTTGTTAATAGTTTTCTGTACGTTCTATGTGGTGCATGGTTTATTAAAAGAACGGGCGTATGAAATAGTTATATTTATGATAGCTATATTTGGTATATTACTGTACAGTATAGTTAATTATTGGGTGCAAGAAGAAGACAGAGGACCGATTAGACTAGTGAGTAGACAAATTCGTGTTAAAGACCATCCCTGTTGCTTTGTCAATGTTTACATGACGGAACTATTTTGTTCTGTTTTGTCCAATCCGAATAACCTGGAAACGGACTAGACAGGCAGTATGCGATTATTGCACGACGTTTTTTTTTAAATAATCAACGACATTACAGTATCTAAAAGTTGCTGTATGGCGAAAGTATCGTTCACTAAAATGAAAGTGTAGGAATGGAGATTAAAGTCTCAACACAATGAGGGGAATTTTGCATGTACAGCAGCCTTGCAGCAGTCTCTTACTTATTGGGGACACGTAGCGTCAACACTATAATTCTGTCATTTTGAGAGTAAGATTTAGATAAAGATTGAGTCTTTCCGTTGCTGAATATACCGGACTCCGCCTAGCAGATTGACTCTCGTGGTGGTCACAAATCACAATCGTATGTTGCTTTTGTTCAAGCAAAGAGTGAACAGGACCAAAAAGTGTAATAATACTATAGCAATAACTCATTTGTTTTTGTTTTTCAGTCCCGTTTGATTATTGCATGTGTTGTGAGTCCAGCTTTAATCGTATTAAGCGGATGGATTGGTTGGAGATACAACAGTTCTGGCAGGCTGCTTTTCAGAACTGTTGGTGCCAATACAGAGCTCAAGAGCAGTTATAAAATGCTTTTAATGTTTCTTGATTGTTTAAAACTTGATTTACAACTTGGGGTAAGTTTACATGTATACTGGCGTATAGGATACAAGTAAGGACATCCAGGGGCGGACAGTGTACCTCTGGACTCTCGGACCAACTGGTTTCCCTTGGGCCCCATCTCAGAGAAGACTACGTGCTGTGACAAGAAAACTAAACTAGCTTGATTCAGCTTTCCCGCACTCCATTCATAAATCAGTTTTATCCTCGGATTTATGTCTAATTTTTTAGTGAACGCGTAGATGGATTTTATTAATTTTGAAAAAAAAAATATATGTCAGTTTTTCTCCCGCAGACACGCCCGGCGAATCGAGATCCCGTTAATTCTTGGGGACAATAGGATCTAAGTAATGGTAGCTTATTAGAATACAATAAACTATAGTGGACTACAAAAACCAGTAAATGGTAAATTAGTATTGTTAAGTGAACTATCGACAGTCCACTACAAAGTCCAGTAAATGGTGAATTAGTACGGTAAAGTAAACTATTAACTGTGACCTCCAACTGAAATTTGTTGGTGCGCGCAATGCAACTGTTCGAAATTTATGCCACTTGATTCCCCCACCATACCCAACGGACTTACCCCCCCCCCCATTTACAATTATTTTAATATATAAAGCTTCATTATATTTGTTTGAAAATGAACTGACAAATGTGTTTTAACTTTCAGATAAGTATGGTGATCTTTATTCTGAATTCTGGTTTCAAGATTAATACTGAAGATATTGTCATTTTATCTGTTGGTGGAGTAATAACTTTAATATGGTTCGGTGTCGGATATTTTAGTGTAAGTATTTCTTACAATCAACATTAAAAAATCGGTTACACATTGCGAGAAATCGAACACCACGACGACGACAGTGCACAACCTTTGAATAGTTAATGACGAGTAGAACCAATTACGACTGTACTGTTGCGATCTAGTAAGAATCTTGTACAACTATATAGTTACAAATAAACTACGATCGAATACGCTCAAAGTTTGTGCGATTACTCACAAATACTCACGACGCAGTCCAAAGAATGGTAGGACGAACGTCGTAAGAGCATGAACGATAATTACAAAGCAATACGAATATCAGTATAGTACGAATGTCAGTACGAATATCCACGTTGGTCCAAATCGTATCTAAAAATCGCAATTGTGTGACAGGTGCTTAAACCACGGTTTTCGCTTTGCGTAGCGACACGACGGCCTTCACTCTGTGAACCCCATAAGTGCAACGTGTTACTCCTTAGGATAGCAACATTACGGCGATCTTCTTTTTGTAACATTTATGATTCTTGCGAAATGGACATCAGCAGCAATGGCATGGTTATATCTTACTCTCGTCGAATCGGCATGCACACATTTTTATTTTACTACTTCAAGAGAATTATATCATGCATCACATGAATTACTAATAATAAAAATCAAGCCAGATAATGTCATTATCATTCAGGTTTTATTATTTATCAACGAATTATCTTTAGATATTGATGGACTTAATGTTAATTTTGAATTTCTATCATAGACGCTGCAAGAGAATAAGGTGGGATCGTGGATATTTATTATTGTAGCTCCAGCAGAACCAGCATATGTTATATTTAAAATGAATCAGGTAAACTTTAATTAATATTTAATTAAGAATAAGATGGCGAGATAATTGGCATCGAGAACTTTTAGTCTACCCTAGTAACAGTATGAACTTTCGATGTGAATATTAAGCCGGTGGGGTCGGAGGGGGGTGTGTGGTCATATTGTCATTCATAAAAGATGAGGTACCCTGTCCCCCCACCCATACTCGACACAAACTACGTCATTTCGGGGACAACATATGGTTCTATTACATTTCAATAATTCGCTTGCACGCAAGGGCCTTTGGCTGTGGGAGGAAACCGGAGCACCCGGAGAAAACCAACGAGGTTGGACAGGCGACGCTACTCCTTGTCAAGTACAAGCGGGGGATCGAAACCACGCCACTTGATTCAATGACAGACCTTATAATCAAACGAGCAGGTGCTAACCATTCGGCCCCCTCCCCTTTATGTGAGGTGCAGTAAGGAAGATAAGACGGGATACGGGTTGGGGTAGGGAGGCACTACACCGTTTTAGTCTGATTTATTTTTAGTTTATTAGTACTCTCTCATACCAAATGACAGTATTACTATGTAGATGCCATCAGTTTCTAATACCATTCACCATCTTAAAATGTGCCCTACTATTATGGCCTTATTTCCCAGCTTACCCTAATATTAATTTCAGTCAACACAGGAAGCTGGTACAGCACAAGGTGATTTAGTAGGAGCAACCATAGCAGCTGGTGTTTTAGCTCTAGTAACTCGAAGCGTATTGATGGTTTTATTATATTTCGTTTATAGAAATTACGGCAAAGGTTTAAAAGAAAAAGGTAAATACACAAGCAACACTATATTTCAATTCGAAGTGAGTGAGAAGTTGTCTCGATTATCAAGGGTTAAACATATAAGGATAATGATGCCTTTTGACCGAGACAAAATTATCCCCTTGTTTTCTATAGCCCCAAAACATTTTAAAAAATAACGTTTTAGTGTGAACTTGAAAATGATATATTTGACAATTTTTAAACTGACAATAGTGAATTATAGGATTAATAGGATTATTCTTTTACTATGCACGACCGTGTATAGATTCCCATTCCAAGATGCAACCATTTTTAGTTCTTTTTTTTCAGGTATTGGAAGTATAAACCTTCCAACTTATGGAAGTCTAAACAATCAGTAATACCCGGTCAAATACTGTACACGTTAAATTCCCATATCAGATATATAAAGTTACAGTATAATTCACAATGTACTATAATGCATGCGCTGTGATCATTTATATTTACGATTATTAAAGCAACCAAAGAAATGGAACACAATGCATTACAAATAAAAAGTATAGACATTTAGAATGTCCAAAGTTTCCATTTCTGTGGTTTAACAGAAATTCAGAGTTTTATCAGAATCTTTGACGGTTGCAAAGAACAAGCAGTTTATTAGTTTATTGTCAGAGTGTCAGGTTTTAATAATCCCCGTTATATAATACGTTAATACAAAACAGTGGTGAATATTAATACGTCCCATTTTACATTATTGAAAGGTACATTATTCAAGTGCTAAACCTTCCTATTTCTGGCCCTTCTTTAGGCTTTAGATATTATACAATTACTAATTAGACATTTATTAACATGACAAGACCATAATCAACTCTCGTTGCCATCGGATGCTCACGATTTTAACTAGATTAAAAGGGTTCGACCATTTAATGATTTAATTTAAAAATAGAAGAGCAGGTCTAAATCTGGAATATACCAGTGCCGTGGTTACGATAATAAACAATCAATGCACACATCTTGTCAAAAAACTACAAACTGAGATAACTTAGCTCAGAATAAAGTAATGTGAATGAAATTTTCAATATATTCATTTTGTATATCTATTTTTGAACTATTATAGCAAGAACGGCCAGCTCTTTGTCTAAATCTTACATAATGTATCTTTAATAGACAGCCTTTACAAATGTTTCTTGTAACATTCCCGTTTGTGTTTAAGAGTAAATAAACCACCCGTCGTGTTTTAAAACTATTTTTTTTTTATCATTTTTTTGTTTTACAATTTATCATCCAGTTCTGGACAATCACAGTTCACTATAATATTTAACATTAAAATATTTGCATTAAATATTTTTATTAACAAGATGTAAAAATATGCTACATTATAAACATCTGATTGCACGACATTACATGTAATATAGTGACAGGAACGAAGAAATGATGCTGTCCCAGTCTAAAAGATACTGCAAAATAAACTGTGACACAATATAAAATACATATAATTCACGATTCCCAAATAACAATTATGATATTTTGATAACTTTCAATTTTAAAAATGACTTGATTTATCACGCGAAGAAAAGGGACGGATGGGGTTTAACGTTCGGGGTTAAATATCTCGTCAAAATGTTTTAAAATACTAACATGAGGGTACAACAAAGAAAATATTGCGTTGTCATGGGGAGAATCTGCACTTCTTCTAATTACAAACGTAAAAGGACTTTTTACGTGCACTTCCAATTTGTATACGGCACCTGGATTTTTTTAAACCGTCCAACTGACTAGACACATTTCCCTGTCAGTTTAACGGACACTGGCTCTAGATTAAGTTTTGCATCCATTATTCAAGTAAATTAGTACCTGCACAGTATGAACTAGTATACTAGCCAATTATATTATGATTGTTTTAAAAAAAAAGACTTATTTATCAAGTAAAATTAATGCTTTTATGATTCACAATAACTGAATAAATATATTAAATTATATATAATGCTCTATTAATTATGGATAATGAATAAACTTGAAATAATTATGAATAAAGTGGGAATGTTATTAATTAGTGTAATGATGTATTAGTTATTATTATCACTTACGATAATTAGTTACAAAAATAAAAAAGTTGTAGATTTTAGAAGATATGTTTTCTGAGAACAGAGATTTCTGCTCGTCGCATAGGGTTCTACAAGACATTTTATAAGATCGAGCTTGGCCGGTTAACCCTTTGAGGATAAGAAGGAGTGACTCAAACTTAATTCTTTGCTGAATTGGGAGCCAATTTTGGGATTGCAATACAGTGGAGATGCATTGTTGTCATCAGGGGCGGATCCAGGAATTTTTGCAGGAGGGGGTTTGTCAGGATCCTGTTAAGGGAATTTAACGGTTGACAATGATGATGCCATCATCGTCTCCAAATTACGTATGCACACATACACACTGAGCTTTAAAAAGAGAGAAATCCAACATCCCGTTTTACGTCAATTTTTATAATAAATTAATAGGATTTCATCGATGCAAAGCATTAATTGTGATATCACATATTATGTCTAATGGCATTATCTGACGCTTTGAATGCCCATCCCATCCCACCATCTAATGATAAAGGATAAAGCACACGACTGTTACACTTTTTTGTTTTATAAAAAAAAATATGTAGCTGAGCAGGGTGGGGAAGTGGGGGGGGGGGGCTGGGGGCTGGGGAGGAGGTTTGGATCCACCCCCATCCCAAATACCTCCTCTGGATCCGCCCCTGGTCATGTACTGAAGGCAACGCTTAAATTAAAACTCGCTACCTCATCACCATGTCAGCCCTCAGCTCATCCCAAACTGAGGCTGCCTGTCTACAGCTAGCTCCGCTTGAGAACAGGCCCTAAGCTAATTAACCGACATTTTAATTCCTACACCGACGATTTTAGTCGAAAACATTGAGTATGCTTTTAGTAATTTTTAGAAGTATTTATTTTTCTTCTATTATCATATTGAATGAAATTAAATATGTTTATTTAGCCGCTGTGTGTATGGAAGATGTCAAACTAATCAAAGCCGAATCACAAAATAGTCCTCTAATTATTCAATATGGCGGCGCCCATGAAAGATAATTTCACAGAGGCGGTTTTGTTTACGCAGACAAATTTAGGAGTATCTAACCTTGTTTTGATTGAAACTCTAAAGACAGTTTACAATGGCAAAGAATGTATTGCAATATTACCCACTTGCAATATTACTCACTAGCATATATTATATATCGCTTTTAGCGGAGTGGTAGAAGTTGACATTTTGTCAATTACATGTTTTAACATAAAACACGTGCTTGATGGCGTTATTTTTACACTGTTGTGTACACAAAGCCGTAGTCCAGTCGATAAGTCTCGCCCCAAAATGATCACGTGAGCGTTTTAAATGGCGGGCAACTAGGGTAGTGATCATAATCTCGAAGTATGACGTAGATGGATCGCTGCGTGCAGTTTGCCCTCAGCTATCAAAAACTCTGCAACATTAAAGCGGAAACGTATCCAGATTTCTGTTTATGCCAAACTCCAACGCGAACGATTCAGCTTCAGTCCATTCACTTGATTTGACATATAAGTTTGTAATTTATTGCTTGCAATGTCTGTGTACCTCTTTTCCCACAGGATTGTTTAATGGGTTTTGTTTGCGTATAGGGTGGCCTTCCTGTCCTTACTATTTCATTAAAATGAGTACTGTACAAAGACGGTACGTTCAATGAGATAATCTGACCCCGGTGAAGTGGATTGTGGGGAAGTGATATGTGTGAATAAAAATAAATATTAACATTTTAGTGGAACCCGCAGCTGTAACCTACTTGATTATGTTAATTGTAACTACCACACTGACCCACTGGAATAAAACCATTTTGTTATATAGTACAACAAATACGTGCCCAAAACAATGGCCAATTATGCTGGCCAATATGGTTTTATTTCAAACAATGTACCTCATGTAATAAATTTCCACTTCGGTAGCAATTGACTGACAGGGTTCGGAAGAGAATCGTTGTAGAAACGTAGCTCCGATTAGAATACAGTAATTTTCATGTGTTCAATTACTAAAATGCCATTCAAATATATTTATAAGTGATTGAATGGCAGTAATGTCCAATGGAAATTAGTCAAATTTAATTAGTGAGTCCTAAAATAATGCGATACCTGATGTGAATTTTATATATTATTGTGAATATATTAAGTTTGTCTCAAATGGTGTTACCATGTGTTTGGCGCAGTATGTCCTAGTTGGTGCAGAGAGAGTGAGAGAGAGAGAAATGGGGTTTAACATATGGTTTGATTTTATTTCAATAATTCGCTTGCGCGTAGGGGTCTTTAGCAGTGGGAGGAAACCGGAGGACCCGGAGAAAACCCACGAGGCTGGACAGGCGACCCTACTCCTTGTCACGTACAACCGGGGATTCGAAACCACGCCAGTTGACTCAATGACAGGCCTTATGATACAAGACGCACGTGCCAACCATTCGGCCATCCAACCCCCCAGTTGGCGCAGAAGTGCCATGAAACACCAATTAAATTTCCATTCTACCAGCATTGTTCAGATTTTATTTAGGATGAAATAATCTTTACCATCATATTCTCACATCTTTTTTTTCGTCTGAAGCACGACACGGATTCAGAAATTACACAATGCCTTACAAAATAATGATCCAGTCTTTGGATCATAAAAATAATTTATTTATTATTCATAAATATTATAACAAGGTATGCAAAAATAAGCTAATAAAAATATATAAATTCTAAATTCGTAGATTTTCCCCTAATTCTGAAAATACGTAACAACGGGACATACTAATAAGATAAGTTAATGATTAAGTTAGAGCTATAGGGTTACTGTACTACATTCCACAAGATTGTTAGAAAGACATCTTGTCTGTCTTAATGACTGGTCAGGGCACCAAACAAAACTAAACTTGGTGTGGTGTCTTATATCAAAAATAGATTCCGTGTCACTCAGCTTCAAATCTGTAAATTTTATATTTTTCACAATTAGACCTTCACCCTCAACGAGAATAAGACTAATAAAGCAAGGTCAACTAACTATCAGAGTGAGTTTACTTTTAAAAAATTAATCTATTAAACTATTACAAAAATACCAATAACATTTTAATAATATACTACAAGTCCTCGGTCACCTCTATGTAGATTAATCTACATCTGCTAACAAAAATCGATAAATGAACTGAGAGAAAATAAACAGTTAAAATACAAATAACCAGACAAAATTAAAAACACATTTCATTATGACTTATCAATTTGAAGGAAAAATGAATATGTAAAAGACAGGGACCTGCCATATGAATTAATTCTAATTTGGTAGCCTCGGCCAAATCAATATCTGACGTAGTTATATTCCCAGGGGATCGATTCGATTCTGATGTTTTGTTTTATGGAATGGGTTCACTTTCGAATTGATATAATCGGGATATAATTTATATAGGTCCATATCTACTTACAAAACGAAATAAACGAAAATATGTAAGCTTGTATTCTAATAATAAATCCCGATCTCTGATGTATAATTTTAAAAAAATTCAAATTGGACACTATTAGATTCTGTCGAAATGACCAGGCTCAGAAAAACTTGAAACGGCATGTGAGATGTATGACATCAGTATATATGTAATTCCATCTATGATACTAGCTATATTAGCGATCCCATTTAGACACCATTGTGAAGTAACAATCAAACAAACCGGGTTATGATGAACGTAAAAATGTGTTGTGAATGATGAAAAAGATGAAAATATACCAGATACATTTATATAATATTACAAATACCAGAACACAAATATATGGAATTGTTCGGGTCTCTTGGCATGGTTTTCCAGACGCTTCATCCAATGGCTTAACACGAACCAGATCAAGCGATGAATCTCCATGACTGTAGCTCAACCTCCGTGCGCGGGTAAGCAGTCTCTCCTGAAAACAAAATAACCAGTTTATGATTGTTTCTCATTAAGAGAAAAATATATATTTCTAATTCATTATATACATGTACATGGTGCAGTTTGTTGTATTTATGAACAACACCATAGAATCTTAACCACAGTATTCGGTTTTCGAGGTGCAATTTGCCTAATATGGGAAGTCTAACAACTTGAAACCAATCCCTGAAATCAACGAGAGGTTGTTAGGACTCATATACACCCATATAGTAAGCTTTAAAAGTGAAAGAAAAGATATATTTACGACCCTAAAAGTTTGAAATTCAACGTTATAAAATATCATCAGGTTTCTACCACAATGACTAATCTCACTAAGTTTTAGAAAAACATCCATTTAGCACGTTCTCCTCTACCACGTTTACAAGATTTAACAGTCAAAATGTAGACCGATAAATAACCTGGACATAAGATTCATATGCTTGTAAGCAAAAGGACAATAACTCTGAAATCTCCCGATCGAAAACTTTCGAATTTCAAAAGGACGTTTCTTTATGACCAGACCAAACCAAACCCCTGGGAATGTGAACTCTAGTGGGTAGAACGTTCACAAGAAAAAATGGACGGAAAGGCAGACGCAATGACGATCATGTACGTTTACATTAACTGTGGGCGTATAAAAATCACAAACGTGACAGCTAACACTATCCATCTGCTGACCAAACTCCAGGTCATTTCACAGTTTCATTTTGTACGGAAACTGTGCAATAACCACATCTTAATTCAAAACAAATGGTTAATCTTTTTCTGCTCAGAATATCATATGGTGCCAACAACCCATGAATCATAAAAACTAATGATCCTTAATATATTTATATAATATACCTTCAAACAAACATCAACTTCGTCAGGATATTTTTTAATAAATTCACCAACATAAGTAATAATTGAAACTTCATCGGGTTTCTCTACATCGACATCTGTAATAGCAACAGCATATAGTATAATTATTTTATGATTAACTCGAATACATGAGCCGTTTACTGAGATTGAATGATACTTGTAGTAGTGTAATTATATTGTAGACAGATTTCGTCAACATAGTTTACCCGACCGTCGTTTTTCTCGAATATAAACTCGTTAATACCTGATGTTCGACATAATGCGGTTTAACGGTATTCAACATCTTAAAACAAGAACAATGTTAATCCTAAGAGCACCCTGATAGTTTTCGGAACTCGTCTGCTATTACCTTTATTTCTGTGTTTAAACAGGTTAATGTGATATACTGATATAATATTTTACGATGCATTATACAAATGCTTTGGTCAACATTACTGTTGATTAACAGTGATAAAACAAATGAGACTTTTCGATAACTGATGTGAGAAATTTAAATTGTTGAATATTACCGAAGACTTGAACTTTCACATATTTTAAAAACAACTTTATTGATCTAGCAAACAACAGAGTATAATAATTCAAGATTCACATTCCCTACCATCTGGGTCTAACAGTTGAGGAATATCAAGTTCTCTTTCAGCAATTTTAAACGCATTTTGAAGATTTTCTCGAACATTTTCAGGCTGTATTTTTTGTTCAACTATAGCACCTGGTTTGATTCTGTTTATCAGTTTATTAAACAATTCTCCATTTCGCCAGCTCTTACCAAAATCTTTAGCTTCTAATGAAGTACTGGAAGTAAAATCATAACCAGGAACTGCATTCAATGATATATGTTAAAGATGCATTATGTAAGATTTAGACAAAGAGTTAAATAAAAAAAATAGATAATGAAAATGGAATTTGTTGAAAATTTCAGTCAAAATTAATTACTTCATTCTGTGCGGAGCAATACAGTCTAGATTGTAACTGCTACCGTTGTTACGATAATACACAAAGTCTCGATTATCCATTTTTAAACTAAATCATTAACTTCCAATCGTATTTAAACCCGCTGAAAAGCAAAACCACCAACAATTCTAGAGAGTTGATTATGGGCTTGGCATTGGAATAAATGTCTAATTAATGATTTATATAACATTTGAGGCCAAACGAAAGATCTGCATTAGGCAAATTTAGTTCTTGAATAATGCATCTTTAATAAATCAATTTCCTTTTTAAACCAGGGGGGTTGAGTGGCCGAATGGTCTAACGCGTGTGCTTTACGTCATAAGGTCTGCTATTGAATCAACTGTCGTGGTTTCGATTCCCAGTTTATGCGTAACAGTAGGGTCGCCTGTCTATTGTCTTGGGTTTTCTCCGGGTCACCCGGCTTCCTCAAAGCGAACAATGAAATAAAATTGAACCATTTGTTAGTCCTGAATTAACCTAGTCGTGTAGAGTAGACTTTAAACCCCATTTCTCTCTCTCTCTCTTTCTGTTTATACCAGAATCATTAAACGTTGTTACATATACAGTATTAGAATGTGAAGTCCGCTTTAATTTTAATTGTACCGACATCTTGAAGTCACACGAGCAGTTAGTTGGTCGTATCAGCTACAATCTTGTGTGCACTAAACATTTTCTATTATATAACAGGCGATACGTTTCAAGTCAGTAGCTTGAAGCGTATATATGGTATTAGTGTCAGTGGCCTGTGGCACGAAGTAACAGTATATTGTCGCATACATAATATATTATGTCAACGCTTGGGCGATATAATATATTATGTCAACGCTTGGAACTAGGATGGAGGTGACTAGGCATGAACTTGCAACGATAGATTTAATTGGCGCTTTGATAACCAATGAATGCTTAGTTTCGATTGTTTTTTTCTTTTCTGTTTTTTCTCTCTTTTCTGTGTCCTAACCCTAACCCTAACCCTAACCCTAATCCGAAAGAAAAGTGCCCTTTTTTGAAATTCTGACATCACAGGTGCCCTTTTTCTGATAAGGATGCCCTCTTTTATTTACAGGGACACTTTCTATGGCTCTGATGACGCGTACATTCCACTGAGTCTACAGGTCTAATATGCTAACACGCTTGGAGCGTCAACACAATATATTATGTCGCCCAAGCGTTGACATAATATATTATGTATGCGACAATATACTGTTACTTCGTGCCACAAGCCACTGACACTAATACCATATATACGCTTCAAGCTACTGACTTGAAACGTGCAGGGTGTATATAAGATTCCAGGACATTGTGTATTTCATAAAATAATTTTAATATTAACAAATCAATAGTTTGGAATGGAAAAGTTCACAATAAAACATTCGTATTCAATTAAAATATACACTGCCATATTACTTATTCCATGATTAAAGTCTTCATCATGATATTTCCCTAATCGATACGTTTTTTCTGTGAATGGATTTTGAAAACAATTGTGTGTTATATTTAAATAACAAACTCGAATTTCAGTTTCCAAATCTTTATAACCCGTCTTCATTGGCCCAGTCGGAGCAGATCAGTAGGCCGTTAAACCCCGTTTCATTTCAACTGGATTCTTAAAGTTGTATCGCTTGTCCGACATTGTACCCTTTTGCTGAAACCTATAAAATGTTGCTTCATATTTTTACATTTTGCTTTTAATCAATTTTTTTCATCACTTACCTTCTTGTAAGAAGTTTTCCTATGTCTTGGCTGTTAGTCCGCCTTAGTCTTCTTGACAATGTATTTTGTATCTATACAGAAGGAAAAATGTAGTATTATAGATGATTTGATATGATTTGTATCATTTGGTTTTAACAATAAACATGCGCATTTGTCACGATAACCTCAGACCCAATTGTCTCCCCCTTTATTCTGACAACACAACATTAGTTGTGTCCCCTTCGACTGCAGATGGTGTCAAAGGTCATACCGGGAATCCTATACGTCTAGTAAAATAAACAGCATTTCAGCATTTGAAATAACTGGTAGATTTATCAAACAATATGTCCCATAAGTCAATGAATGTATTTAGGGTCAGGCAGACACTAAGCATATGCTGAACTGTTCAGAACAATATTCGTTTCAGTCACTTTGACTGATATTGTATTACTAGCGGATGACCCAGTGCTGCACGTGTTGAAAGTAGTATAACTCCGAAACAGGAAGCTGTAGTCCAACGCCACCAGACCTATGTTACTCCCCGGGGCGATCTACCCCTATACACCAAAATTCAGTCTCGGGGCAGCCCTAGTGTAACCTTGAACAGATAACCAAACGACAGTCGCAAATATTAGTATAGAGTGTACCGTATTAACTAATTCTTTCAGTGACACCAAGAAGTAATCATTGACACAATTTTACGACATACATGTATGTTGCATTTCTTCTACCTTTTAAACACTTGAAAAAGAGATAAGAATTGATTTTGAAACGTTATTCATTGGATATAAAAGTGTTAATTCTGCCTTAAGGGCTCTTAGAAACACTTAGTCTAGACAGAAGCAACCATTGGAAACTTTGTGAAATAAAATAAAACACCAATACCAAGTTGCCAGATGGTGTTTATCATAGCGAAATGAAGGATGTCGTTTTTAGAATTACCTAATCCCTATAAACTAATATTAGCGGTCATAAACGACTCAATATTTTGAACTGAAACCTGCCGGTAGTTATGGTGGCAGTAATGTATAGGATGTATCAAATATTGACCTGAAGATGTAAGATTATTTTCCAGACGAGACCCAGAACTATTGAAGGTTTACCGTCTACAATATCTGTACAGTTTATATTCACCAGTTTCATCTGAAATTATAAATATATAAGACAATGTTTCTATTACGTTCAGCTTCATTGAAAAAAACCCCAACAAAAACACTCTGTACATTCAGGACCAAATTACAATTATCAAAACTTGTGAGCACCATGTCGTAGAAAGACAAAATAAGAAATGAAATGAAGTCGGGTTTAACGTCCTACCTTTTATCAGAAATGCAGTGTGCTATATGGGAAATGTTGTCCGAACAGCGACGCGGCGTTTCCGCATACGCTTTAACGAATTTAAGCCTCTTCCCCAATACAATTCAGATATCCCGAATAAAAACACTGTTCGAAAAAACAGGATTCAAGGTTTCCTTTATATGCACGAAAAGAGAGAGAGAGAGAGAGAGATTCATTGATTTGAATAATGTTTGTAACAGTATGTTTATTAAACTCAATATTCGCTGTTATTCTGGAATATTGTAGCTTTAATATAATATCATATCTAATTTTCCTTTGCTTTGATTTGGTAATAACCAAATAAAAAAAAATGTACACATTGAAAGTTTTATCTCCGCTTTCTACATTAATGTAGGGCGTAAATCATATAATTTCATGGTTTAACAATACATACAATGATACATTTCACGAAATTCGGTGTACAACCTCACTATCCATTCCGTGCACAACATCTATTATGTGACGAAATTGCAATCGACCTCAACATTTCACATATTATGCAAAGACCTGATCCTAACAGCTTAAGAGAATTCGGATAAATCTGAAAGCCACAGCGTGTATAAAATTTCATTAAAAAAAGACAGTAATTCTGAAAATAACTTACTCCTCTTCTTCTGAGATAGTTTAAAGCTGTTGATACATTATTAATCTGTAACGGTCTTCTTGTAGATTTTGGCATCTCTTTAGTCTAGAAAATATATAAATAAATGATTAAATAATATGAGCACAATATGACCTAAGATTCTGTGATGAGGTCATGATGGTTCAGCGAGACCTATGTTTATTACCATTTTAGGCGATCGAACATTCTAGAATCTAGAATCGTCATTTGGAACTTCTGGAAACCGTGTTTAAAAATCATTAGAAGGTTCTGTAGGGTTCTAAAAAGTTGAAAAGTTCTAGAATTTCATAAAAACAATGTAAGCCAGACCAGACCAATCCGAAGGCAGAACTTTCCCAGAAGAACTTTCTCAGCAGAACCTTTTAGCACTTCGTACAGAGCTCAACGTTTGTTGTAAGTTTCTATTTGACCCATGTGGTCTGTGTTCTCTATTGTTTGCCATTTCGTGCTGTTGCACTTACTGTTTTGAGAGAAATTATCTCTCTATTTTACATTGTACTGTTTTGAGAAACTTGATCTCTCTGTTGTAATCCCCATGTTAAGAATTACTGTTGTGTACCACGTCGGATTATACCGATTCAAGGATTATTCATCCTGTCAGTTTTGGATCATGGAGATCCTGTGTAATTTTGCCAACTTGGGAATTACTGCGGCAACGCCGAGAAGACATTTATAAAGGACGGTCTACAAACTACTACTTCAAGTAGTAGAAGCACCGAGGGCAAAGAAGATTTCAACCGAATACTGGTAAACTTGAAAGATAAATCATTCAGTTTCCTAACAGGGTGTAATATATATCCGAGGGAGAAAATTCTCAATAACCCTCAAACTATTACAGGACAAATGCAGGGTCTTATCTTCTGACCGGAACCCATTCCCATAACCACCAAAGATACACACTTAGGACTATCGTCAGTTACTACAATATGTTGCAGTATATACCATTAGTAGCAAAGCGAAATGAGACTTTAGTTAATATTCGGTTTCAAGATTCAAAGCTACCGAAGAAGGTAAAGCCAGCCCAAACAGGCCCTAGAATGAGTTAGTTCTATCTTACCAGCTTGCTATTGGTGAGGGTTTCTAAGATGTTGAGGAGGATCACACCATCTTTGATATCTGACATTAAGTCTGTTACTTTACGCTGGTCATTGTTGTTCTGAAAAATGTACATTTGAATGAGTCATTACAATGCATAAAAAAGAATTAAATTTTATAGTTAAACGCCATCACCAAGCCCCGGTGCTAAAGGGATTTAGTTAATAATATAATTTCATTAGAAATGCACGAAAATTATGATTTTTTAGACCTATCGCAGCAGATAAAGGCCAAATTACTGGGGGGGGGGGGGCTAAATTTAAGAGACCATTTATAAATCCAGTTACACGAACCCTGCGTATTCCAAATAACCAATTACTGGGGGATTCCAAAATTAAGAGTACATTTATAAATCCTGTTACACGAACCCTGCGTATTCCAAATAACCAATTACTGGGGGATTCCAAAATTGAGAGCACATTATAAATCCAGTTACATCCACTCATGTGGATTCCAAATAACCATAAGTAGTTAGTGTTCCCATCAAATGATTTGCTATCAACTTTGTCTATCGAGACTATTGTTAAAGTTAAAATGTAAGATGACTAGATTAAATATTTACCTTACTTAAAGTAGCATTAATCCAATTAGTAAAAGTCTTTATTTGTATTCTTTGTTGTTCATCTGAAGGGTAAAATGGGTTCCATTAAACATGTAGTTTTGAGAGTGTATGAATATGACTGAGATTTATTATGACACCTTAGTATAGCTATCGCTACAAATTAGATTTTTTACCCCTCCCCCTCCCCCGTTAATACTGCACGTACCTTGTATACCTACGGGACTAATGTGGGATTCCAGTCTCTGCTAGGAATCACCGCAAACTGCGATAGATTCATCTCAGCCAATCTTCTTCTTTGGCGTTTTCCGCCCCAACCTCCAAATGAAATATCTGACTTTCTATGACGGTCCAAAGTCACTGTCTCCAGGACGTCACTGGGTGTGTGTTCTACTCTAATGCAAGTCCCTTAATGTTTACCTGCGAGCAGGTTGTTTCATCAGATAGTTTCTGGATTGAGATGATAAGTATGCTACAACGCATAAATGTTTTCAAATTGTTGACCTATTAATATATTGGAGTGAATATTCCTATATAAGTTTCCTATTTGACCTGTACATGATGGAAATCCAGCTTTGGAACCTCTAAGCTTCGCACCCGCCGCAAGTCTAATGCTCTCAAGAATAACTCAGTTAAATAATTTGCTTGGATGGTCATAGAAGCTAATTTCCCCTGTAATTTTGTAAAGTCAAGCAACCATCTACAAAGATCTTTAATATCTTTAATTTTCAGGATAGCCACCCAAAACTTTTATTTTTTAATCATTCTGAGATTGTTCTCAGCCCCTTTGCCTTCCATTCGATTATAGGTGGATTTTCTTGTTGTGTGACTTTTAGTATGTTACTGTTCGTCTGGTTTGGTTAAGATATTTTCATCATTGTCACGTTTAGGTTTATGACAGACATACAGTTCTGTTTTCTGAAAACTATCTGGTTACTGATTAGAGTGTTCTCAAATAGTTTTTGTCTGCAGAATCCAGCGATTATGTTGCTAGCTTGTTCAAAAATACACGCCTGTCATTCAACCAGTTCTTTTGACATCCTTACATGTCATACTATTTCCACTTGGCGACCCTCCTGTTTTTCATTTTATCATCACTCTATGTTTATGCATATCAACTGCTTACATATAATATATATGTTCGTCTAACAGTTTTCCTCTAAAGAAGCTATGTAAATCTGAAACGGATTGGAAGAGCTTGAGGATTGCCATGGTAAACACTTTTCTATCCTCTCTGATACTTAACTTTGTGTTATCAGTTGTTTGCTATCTCTGTAAACTGCTGTTGCATTTGCTTGTAATTTTGACATTCAGCGTAGCTACTACAAGTACATGGTTACATTTCGCGTCTTGCTCTCGTCCAATCCAGATGGTAACATGGTATATTTGCTTTTATGGCTAGCTGCCTGGAGAAATAACTATAATAGGGAAATATTTTTCCACCAATCACCTGATGTTCATTGTAGACAAGTCGGCAAAAAGCTCATCGTCTTAATAAGGCTCCCTATGCTTATCCATGATCAATTGTTACGAGTATAAAAAATAAAATTCAATAGATCTTTGATTTGGGTAAAATATAAAATTGTCGATTTGTCTTGGTGGGGTGACAAAACCAGTGTGGGGGATATAACCCACTTTGCTTCCATAGCTATTGACACCGATAGCCAAAAAATACAACGGAATTTGGTATACAATCAGACATTTGTTCAATCTTTTAAACGATCTTTTTGATACAGAAGTATTCTTCCTTTGCAATATGATACCAATATAAATCTTATGTATTTGCCCAAATTATAGAAGCTTGCAGATCATAACTTTGTACCTTATGTAAAGGATTTAAATATACATATTAACTATAGTATCTTTTATTTCTAATAAATATAGAGGGGTTTGGTTGGCTGAGTGGTCTATGAAGACCCGGTATGTAGCCAATAGTTTTGTACCTTACAATGAGTGGAGCCGCCGGCCTAACCTCCTGGGTTTCTTCCGGTTTCCACCATTTCTAAGGCTCTTCCCGAGAAGACGTTATCCCCCCCATCCCTTTGTGGTCAGTATTCTCTTATTTGTGAATCGGACATATTACTCTTAAATGTCCGACAATAGGCTACTATTTGCGTCACTCAATCAACTGTATTTACAATACTTGTTTGTAAACAAACACGAATACGACGATCGGAATAAATGTTCTTAACGGGCAATTAAGCATATCTATCAACTAAAATTGTACAAGCATGCCATTAAATTTATTGAGAACAACGACCATTTATTAAAACCTAATATAGTAATTTATACCATATGTTTATTACTCAACTGGCTAGACTGACATTAGAGACATACCTTTTAAATTGTGAAATCGATTGCACACGTCACTGTCTCTGCGTATAGCATGAGGATATCCCACATTCTCCATATTGTATTTTTCTCGCTAAAATGTACACAGGCAGTTATTTTAAAAATACAAATTCCATATAACAGATCTATAAAAGTATCCCGATAAATCGTTCAAACCATTTCACTCATTAAAGTATCATGGCGGACTAGGCAACACCTGTTGTGCAGTAGTACAAAAGTACCTTTATTATGTAGATGCGAAGTATGTCGATTCATCAGCTAAGTGGCCTATATGTTAATGGTATACCAATATCGTATCTCACATTAATCAATTTATTGCAATACATATACAAACTTTGTGTTCATCTTTCATCTTACATTTCAATTAAATAGGAATTACTTGTGGCCTTTTTGGCATTGATGAGTAAAAATTGCGCCAATCCACTACCGAGATAGATAGATATATAATTATTTGTAGTAAAAACAAAAATAGGTCTAATAAAGAATTCGTTGTTACAATCAAGCCGTGCTTTAAACATTGATACAAAAACGGTTGTTTAAATAATATTCGTGAAGTGATATCCCTAGATGTAAAATTACCACTATTCGTTAATTTTCAAGGCAATTAGCATTGGCAATCGAAATTTTCCGGTAAATATACGGCACGATTGGAATATATCTCGGGGTTATTTCCACATTCAGCTTTAGAGCTGGATACTCTTCGCCAAATGATACCTATTTCAGGGCAAACCAATAAAAATCTAAATAAAATGAAATGAGATTTAACGCCCCACTGGGCTAATGAAGACGTGCAGTGGCGCTACGGCATACTCTTATTTCGAATTCCAACTGTGTATGTCAACGCAAAGACTAAACACCCTGCCAGCCACCCCGTCTTTCCCTACTGACAAGGTTACACGACGCTGACAAACCCGGGGCTTCCAGGTGTGCGAGCCAGCCACCGCGTCTCCCTATAATAATTCTAGACATATTTATGTTAACAAAATACGAAGGGTTTACAGACGTATCTATGTTAACGATATACGGATGGTTTACTTCTTGACTTATCTGCTCCAGGTTTACATGACGAATAAAACGCGGGGGCATTTCTAAGGTAAAGGATATTGCCGAAGACTTCCGAGTTTAGCTGAATATGAGACCAAATGTGCACCAGCAAACTTGCCCATTAAAAACTAAAAGCAGGTTTATATTTATATCTTCTCAAAAACTATTCATTTGTTCATCAGGGTTCCATCTCAAGAAAGTTTTATAATTTAGCTATTTTAGTTTGCAAATATAATCAATGTTTAGAGATTCCTTGTCCAATTTTTGAATACAGAACAAAAATGTAATGATTTTTATTAAGACTTTAATTTGAAACTAAACAAATAACAACACACGGGGTAAATCTGATTTTATTGAATTTTATTCTGATTCAGTAATTACAATGTACGACTGTTTATCTCAGCCAATTTGCTGCTCTAATCCACCGAATTGTTGATCTATTTCAGGAAACACATATTGTCCAGATATATCATAGGGACTGTCTGTAAAAGAAAAAAATATCAATTTATCAAACTATAAATTAATGGATCGAACCACGGCACTATTTTAAGCCAGTGAAATTTGAAACATAATGACTTCATAATGTTTAGTTTTGCGGCGACCACATTTTGTTTCTGCTTTGTAGCTTCTATCACTTTCACAAGCTTTTCGGAAAGGGGCATAAGTCCAGAAAAACGGGACACAGAACGCTTATTATCGTAAAGGTTTTTGTCCCCTTAAAGCCCCAATGCTTAAAATCAAATTTGAAGAAAATATGTTAAAAACTGTAAGTTTAATCGCGTTCACAATGTTTTCGGAAAGGGGTGGGGGTGTTACTCCGGAACCATAGGTCATGCATATCGATAGATTTCGTCATCTCGTAAACCCAATGCTTCATAACGAATTTGAGATGAATTTGTTAAAAAAAATCAAGCCTCTATCACGTTCACAACCTTTTCGGAAGATGGTGGGGTGGGGAATGGGCAATTCCTGAAAGGAAGGTCGCGGAATGTTGAAATCTGTAGCCACTATCGCGTTGACAAGGTTTTCAAACAAATTTCATGAAATTCAAACAAATTTCATGAAATTCAGACAAAACCTCAGATCTGAAGACATCTTTTATAATTTGACGTAAATAAAGGGCAATAACGCTAAATATTCATCTAATTATTTAGAAGAAAAGGGCCCCTTGTCTAGTCAAAGCAAAGTTTCGGAAAAATGTCACGAAAATTGCGACATCTATTATACTGAGAAATAGTTTCGAGACAGTTTTTGGCAATAAAGGGGGTAACTATACAAATATTAATCTGATTCATGTCTTCTCATCGGGTTTCGGCAAAAAGGGGCATAGCTCTAAGCAGGTTTTAAAAAAATTTGAAGAAAACTCTTGACCTCTATTGTGCTGAAAAGCATTACAATCGTGTGTACAGGTTTCGGCATACAAAAATAATCCGATTTGGCCACAGATCATCAATGATTTTCCCGTTGACTTTAATGTTAATTCTCGTCTCCTTAGACTGGCTCTAACTTTTCCCAAAATTTTCTTTGGGTTGAACGCTTTCTAACACATGTGGCAACTTCGTGATCAAAAGCAAATATGAGGTTCACCATGGAAAACTTGAGATACACATGCAACTGTCGGACCTACATTTCAACCTAACCAACCCCTTAACTCTTTTATCCTTCCGCCTCAAAATCATGAATATTAACCCAAAACCTGGCAGAAAATGTGCATTCCAACCCCTTTCTTCGATACCACACCAAAAAGTCACCAAGTGTGCGGGGGGGGGGGGGGGGAGAAAGATTAAAAATAACTTTGGCCCTTCGACGTAGTAATAATATTGCTGATCTGTGTCCTATGTGAAGAAGAGACAGAAAAATATTAGCAGTATTCTACTTGCACGTAATCGACAGTATAGATTTAACAAACTTACCCGGCGGCACTGTTGTGACACCTTATGCAAAACAAAAAATAAAATTCCAAAGCTTTAACATTAAATTTTTGATGATGATGATGATGATGATGATGAGATTATGTATGTATCTATTTTTATATGTAAGCTATGAAGTTTGAAGGTATTCCTATTTGTATCGAAATGTATAAATTACGTGGAGATCAATTTATGCTGATAATGAAATTGTGTTTCTGTAGAGACATCACTTTATTAAAGGTTAACATATATTTGGGCCCCCTTTCAGATAGCATGGGGCACCCTAGTCAAGGGTAATTTTTAAGTTGAGATTGGGATTGAATGCCCAGGACGAACAGGGTTATCCTCTTTTCTACATAGAGTATAAAAATACTTGTAATCGGTGAAATAGATACCACACTTACTCCACACAGGAAGAGTGGGAGTCTCGAATATCACAGGATCTTTTATGAAACCATTACTTCGTGTTATATCACTGAAAACCAGCGGCTGCCAGGCAGGATACGCCTACAATATAGAGAGATGGATAGAGAACAAGCTAAAAAGAAAGTGGTTTTCCTACAATCAAGGACCATAATTCAGAAAATTACAATTCGATATGCGCAAATATCCAAAAGAACCGAGATCATTAATGAGGATGCCTGAGCAGTGGATTCACATAAAAACTGCTCTTTCTACTTGTTTTTTGATATTGGCGAATGGCGAAAACCAGCTACTCGTTTTTCGATATTCAAACTTGAATCTCAAAAAAGCAGATTTGATGGTTGTATATCTACAGAATGTCTCCTAAACACATTTTTGTGTGAATACACAGCTCAGGCATCCTCATTATTGATATCTTTAGTTCTTTTTACAAAACTGATTTAATCAATTGTGTTTTGTAGACATTCTGTAGATGTAATTCCATTAAATCTGCTTTTTTGGGATTCAAGTTTGAATATTGAAAAACGAGTAGCTCGTTTTTCGACATTCGCCAATATCAAAAAACAAGGAGAAATATCAGTTTTATGTGAATCCACTGCTCAGGCATACCCATTTAGGCATTTAATCAAATGTGTAAATATACATCCATCAAATCTGCTTTTTTGAGATTCAAGCCTGAATATCGAAAAACGAGTTCGACAATATCAAAAAACAAGTAGAAAGAGTAGTTTTTATGTGAATCCACTGCTCAGGCATCCTCATTAATGATATCTTTAGTTCGTTTTCCAAAATTGATTTAATCAAATGTGTTTTGGAGACATTCTATCCATGTACATCCATTAAATCTACTTTTTTGAGATCCAAGTTTGAATATCGAAAAACGAAAATCGAGCTAACTTCACACTGCCCCTATGGTACCAGTAGAAATCTACGTTCTCAGGAAAAAAACATCTTCTAAAGTCTCCAACTATTTTTTTTAGAGTGAGAGAGAGAGAGAGAGAGGGAGGGGACAGAGAGAAGGGGGTTTACGTCCACTCGACACAAACATGATTCGATTTTTTTTTCTCAATAATTCGCTTGCGCGTAGGGTCTTTAACTTTGGGGTGGGGGGGGGGGCAGAGGACCCAAAGAAAAGCCATGGGGTTAGACAATCGACACTATTCCTTGTCATAATCATGCTATGCGGGGAATCGAAACCATGCCACTTGACTCAATGACAGAACTTATGATCTTAAGTGACCGTGTTAATAACTCCCCCACCCCGTACCCAAAGAAAAATAAACCTGAATAAAAATTGGTATTTCTTACATGGTGAATCAAATAAACAGAGAACGTTAGCTGACCTAACGCTACACATTTCTATATTTTATCACAAAAAAACTATTGGAAGGCGCCGGATGTATCGAATTTCTTGATCTTTTATTTTGATCTGTATTCTATATGTTTAATTAAATCCGAAGTATCAATTACACCCGCTTTCGTTTTGTGGTCTTTGAATTATTAAAATTCAAATATATCTATTGATGCATAACAGATCATAATGTAACGGTTATGTTGTATTATTAATATTATATAACATTGTGATCAACCAGGGAAAGTAATTGGTATAACATCCTTTATATTCAGTTATCATAAAATTCTGAAAGTATACAATAATGGGTTTTTTTTTCAAATAAAAAAGTTATTTAAAATACATAGTGACTAATTTTGGTTTAAGGCCTGAAAGTGTACAAATAGGTAAACAGAATCTAGTGATGGTAATGATAAATGACAATTTCAGTACTTAAAATCTATTACCCAATTCTAAAAGGTTTTGCACCTCAGAAAATATTAATTTATTT